CCTGGTATGGTTCAGGACGGGGGATGTTTGCTGCCCCCCCCCCTTTCCTGACCTGCCAGGCTGAATGCTCAGATAAGGGCCCGGTATGGATTTTGGGGGTGACCCCCAACGCCATTTAGTTTTAAATTTTGGCATGGGGCTTCCCCTCAAAATCTGAACCAGACCCGAAGAGCTTGGTATGGATGGGGAGGGGGGGGGGGCACGCCTTTTTTTTATTATTGTTTTAATAATTCTTTCTTTTATATTCAGCTGTCAGTGGGGAACCCAGCTGACAGCTGCAACATGAACACATGTTTTTTCACTACTAAAAGGCCGTATGACTTGATAAAATAACTCATACGTTATTTTATATTCAAATATTTTTATGAAAGGATTTTCAACATACAAAACAATGTACATTAACGTTAACATGAATGAGATTCACATTCAGATATAACAGTCGGTAAATGTAAGAAGGGTCCCCACCGATTGGCTGGGGAGGTTGTAAACTTGAGTCGCGCTTACATGAGAGGTATGCTTAGGATAGTGTGAACCATGTTGGAGTAAATCATGCGTTATTTTAATAGCGTTTTTTAGGGAATGCAAACATTTTTGTTTTAAATGCTGTGTGGGATCCTACTGCATACTCGGATGCGATAAGATACCGCTTAGTGAATTGTGCCCATTGTGTGTGATGGCCCAAACAATTGTCCTCACTCACACACTTTCTTATTCTCTTTTCCTTTGGAATCTCAGCTCTTGGCTTGACAAACCCTTCCCAAAAGGGGTAGAGTGCAAACCAGCAATATCAAATCAGTTATGAGTCCAGGCCCTTATCTCGCACCATCGTTTGACATTCACATAAGGCCCAGTCTTGAAGGAGCTTAAGCATGGACAAGGCCACATTCTAATTCACATACTAGGGATCATTTAGACATAAGCCAAAGATACTGCCAGAATGTCTCTGTGAGGGGAGCCCTCCAGGAAGAACATGCAGCCTCATTGCCATGGTCGGGATTCAAACCAACAATCCTAGTGTGCTGAGGCAGCAGTGCTAACCACTTAACCACTGTGCTATCACACACATCTAGAATGCATTTCTGTGGTGTGAATCAACCTTAAGTCCCTGTGCAAGGTTAGGGTAACAAGCCAGATATCTCAAATGTGGCACACATGTTGTGCTATGTTGCCAATTCAGTTGTGGTGGTTCTATGTATCCCAATACAAAGTATTGCAATACTAATATTGTCCTATTATCCTCCAAAATGTGCTACAGTATGTGTACCAATATCATAGTGAAAAAAGCTGTAAAAAAAAGAAAGAGGGTGACACCACTATTGCAAAGTGTAACAAACAAACATGGGGCGAACACATTTTGGGGATAATATTGTGAACATTTGGGATTGCGATACATATACCCCACATGTCTCATTTAGTAACACAGCATAACATTTGTATTCCTTTTAATTTTAAGGTTGAGTTTTTCAACAGCGCTGGTTTGATGTGTGGTGCGTATAGACAGCTGAGGGCATTTGGCTTAAGCTTAATATTAGATGTTGCTAAAAAAGTGCCGTTGGACCACCATTTTGGTAATATCTCTCAAAATTCAAAGTCCATGCGTATGCTAAGTTACACAAGGCACAAACTCAGAAATTGCAAAGTCCATGGGCATGCTCAGTGTAACAAGAAACATGTCTTAAATGGCTAAGTTGCCGGGCATGCTCAGTGTAAAAAGATATATGCTAGATATGTCGAAGTCTCTGTGCATGATCAATGTAAAGGACAGTACAGACAGAAGTATATATACTGACGAGAATATATGCTTCCAAAAATGTACTAGCATTCATTAAATGTGTCACAAAGAAAATTTATGTATTAGAAACACCGAAACGCTGCTTACAAAGGATTAATATGGGAAATACGAGTTATGAGATTATCGTTGTGGAGATTTAACTTTGTTGCCAAAATTCAACAGTTACAATCGGGGAGGTATACAAGGACTTATATTTAAGGCACAATAATATATATTATGTAGATCTTCGAAATATGATATATCAAATTCACAACATTTCGAGAGAAATATACAGAAATATGAATAAATGTCATGTAAAACCATCACAGAAAATCATTATAAAGGATAAGAAACAAAACTAGAATCAATAGAACTAAGGAAAACAAATTAGAATACATAAAGATATGCCTAGCTAAAATAGTGCTTTTTGTGAAACTCAGTTGACTGTCGGGATTGCTGTCTTCCAGAGGACTCCACACAGAGATTTACTATTAGACACAGTCTAAAAGAAAAGCATCAGCGCTAGATGGCTAAATTTTGTTCTGCTCATGTGCATTTCATTCAGTGCATAGACACTGGAAAGGCATCTATTTCTTGACACTCATGAATTCCCCAAAAAAACTGTTTTTTACCCACTGAATTTTTTTTTTAAGGAATATATTCTTTAAAGTTAAGTCCAGATATTTGGGAAACCAAATTTCAATGTGAACCTGTTTGTACAGTAATTTTTCTTTCCTTTAGAAGTGCTTCTAGGACGTCTGCTTTTTTAGATTCCTTTATTGTGTCCATTAGTAAATACGCTTTCACATCTATTTGTTAGACGTTTTCTTTAGTAAATGTCTTTGCCATCTAAAAGTAGATGTATTTCAATGAAAAGTTGACTTTAGCATACGGGCGTGTGCCTAGACGCTGTCTATGTACTTTAGTTAATCAGGGCCTAAGAGTCCAATTTGAGATTAATGACCATCATAGGAACATGTTCTCAGTGAGAAGACCTGTTTGCTAAAGGCCTGACGCATGTGTTTGGACTAAAAGTACCACAAAATCTAGCTGCTGTGGTAGCACTGAAAAGCTTAAACGTTCTGTTGCTAAATTAAGAAACGTGATCAGATTTGTTTATACCCACAATTTCAGTTCAGAAGTTATGCTTGTGTAGCACTACCCCCTTAGGAGTCGCTAAAAGATTTGGGTCCCCCTATAGTCCTGCAGAGCAGGCACCACACGTCTTCACACAGGCTTACATCCAGAGTCAGAAATCAGTCCTTAAGCTTTGGTTTTGTTGTTTTATGTAGGGGATTTGAATTGGGATAGGGTTAGGGGTGTACAGGATGCCCAAGGGTACTGATGAACTGATGACGTTTTCTTGAAACTATTTGCAAGCCTTCAGTGCAACACAGTCTCTGTTGGAGAGCTAGCCACCATCTCCTTAACCGAGCAATAGCAGAATGACGGCAACGGCACGGTCGTCCAGTTCTGGGAGGGAGTCATATGACGTCCTACCAGAATGCGCACCCAGTACTCTCTGTGATCCTTTGGGCACAGCTGATCACATGACATGGTAAAAGGTCGATCACAGTGGCCTTTTACAATGTGATCAGCTCTGTCTAATCACAGCTGATCACCATGTAAATACACTTGCCGATTACCGGTAACACTTTCCTCACGCGGTCACAGCATGAGGAAAGCACTCTTGATAACCGACAACTGTCAAAGGAGACATCTGCACTGATAATCAGGGCACTGATTATCAATGCAACCCCAAAAGTGCCCAGCAGTGCTGCCCATCAGTGTCTAGCAGTGCTGCCAATCTGTGGCTGTCAGTGCCGCCTGTCAGTGCCGCCTATCAGTGCTATTAGTCAGTGCCATCAGTCAGTGCTGTCAGTCAGTGACGCCAGTCAGTGCTGCCTATTAGTGCCCATCAGTTCTGTCTATCAGTGCCCAACATTGCCTCTACCAGTGCCACATATAAGTGTAGTTTCATCAGTGCCTCCTCATCAATGCCCACCAGTGCCGCTTCATCAGTGCAGCCTATCAGTGCTGCCTCATCAACACACATCAGTGTGTTACCTGATTGCAAAGTTTTATAATAGAAACCAATTTTTCCCAAATTTTCCTTTTTATCCTTTTTTCGTTTATAGTGCAAAAAATAAAAAACCCAGTGGTGATTAAATAGCTCCAAAAGAGAGCTCAATTTCTGTGAAAAACTGCTAAAAAAAATTCATCTGCATGTTTGCATGACTGAACAATTGTCATTTAAAGTGCAACTGCACTAAAAACTGAAATTTGGCCTGGGCAGGAAGGGGGTAAAAGTGCCCAGTAAGCAAGTGGTTAATGACCACCCCAGACTCTAGATGAACTTCTCTTCACCCAGCAATCTTCTGCTCCTCCCCCTATCCACCTAGGGGGTGCAGGTGTACTCACTCAGATCCTCTCCTTTACTGCTGGTGGGTTGGTGGCTCCTACCAGGCCTATCAGATGGGCTGCTCCTTCCCTGCCATAGAGGTTGTACCCGCTCTGGGGGCTAGTGAGCTCTGCGCTTTCCTCCTTTCCAGCTCCAGGCCTGCAGGTAGGCCTCATCCCACTTGGCCTTCTCTCAGTCTCCTGCCTTCAGCCTCACATCTTCCTCACTATCTTCCACCTGAACTCTCCTGCAATGGAGTAGGCTTCAACACTTTTAATGGTATTCCAGCCTTCTATTGAGGATTGGCTAGGATCCCTCAAGAGTGCAAGCCAGCCACTCCTCAGATCCACCCACTGCCTCTAGACCTTCCTCCAAAGCTCTAGAGCAGGCTGACATTCCAGAAGTGCTGGCCTGCAGAGCCTCTCAACTCCTGACCACAATTTAACCCCCTGACTATTACACCCAGGCTGCTACTCAACCATCCTCTCTATTAATTGAACACTAGCTCCCCCTAGCTAACTAGGAGGGTGTTATACTTGCTAGACTGTAGTGAGAATTTTTATACTCATCGATTGTGATGGAAAAATGGTCACACTGGCTTTTCGTAAAATCAGTTTTCAGAAACTTTTTGTTCAGTACAACAAAAAGGCACAGATACTGTAAAATGCTTACAATGCGCATGGCTTCAAATGACAATTATAGATTCTACACACAGAATATACACTGTAATGAAATTGAAATTAAACTCAAGCACTGTATTAAAGAAATGCTAACCATGTTTTATATAGCAAAAGTATAAAAAATTTTTTTTTTTATTCAAAAATACAGGTTGACATTTTTTAATGAACTGGAGGAGGAAATTAACTCATACCAGCATGAAAGACAGTGGCTGATGGACAAAGCAAAGCAGATTGCTCAGAAGGATTTATCTCTGGCAGCTGAAGCAGACAAAGAATTGAATGGATTGAACATTACTTGGGAAGATACTAAGAAGCTTATCAGTGAGAGGTAAGAAAAACATTACTGACAGGGTAATCTGCAGTATTATATAAAATATAAAAAATTAGCAATTTTTAATTTTTACTATGGGCTTTTACTAAATTATATGTATGCTAGTATGCTGCAACCCCTGTTTTGGATTTTTGCTGCATATCATGCCTGGAAGGGAGGGCTTTGGTTGATGGCATGGATTGTATGAGCTGCAGGTGATGACTATCCCACTCTACTTACACATATACATATATGTAAAGAGCTTATGTACAAAACAGTGAATGTGACATTCACTAAACATTCAGTGCAGGTGCATTTGTTTTAAATTATAAATATGCCCCATATTGTCCAAATTTGTGAAACAAATTTAGCCACTGTATATCACTGTAAAAAACACTTTAAATACAAATGCAAAGTATCTATACTGTAACCAATAATATAAATTACAACTCTATACTTTATATTTTGACCTCCAGCAGTAGGAGGCCAATGTACTCTTAGTATGATGTCTTTGAGTCCACCTATAACCCCTTCTTCTCCTGTCAATCAATAAACCATCCATTGTATATCCTATCAGCATTAATAATTAGAAAACATAGAGAACCAAAATAGTGTACTATGAGATTACACAATCTCACATCCACAACACTTCCAGGCCCTATAGGTTTTGTCCAAGCAGACCTTCTTTTTCTGGAGATCCTTTGCTCTCAAGAAGTAAGTCTTCCCACTTTATTAAAAATGAATTGGAGTACCTAATCACCAATAATTGCATTAGTATAGGATGTGACAACCCAGATCCCGATTAATGACAATGTAATGGTTCTTTTTGAAATTCATAAAATGTTTCTGAATGTTCCTTCTATTCAGTGAACTATGTTTGTTTCTCTTATTTCAGTCAAGAGCAGTGTCTGGCCCTCATTGATCTATTGAAAAATTATGAACATGTCAAATCCTCTATAATGAAGGTTTTAGAAACTGTGGAAAATATGATCACAATCAAATCCACTTTAAAAGATCAAGAGGACATTCGCCGCACCATAGCAAAAGTAAGAAAATATCTGTGTTTTTATTTTAGTATTCTATGTCATATACATTTTAAAGTGTTCTTAAACACTAGTATTTTTGAGTAAAATGGTTTGAAAGCCAGGTGAATACCAAAATATTCAGTCTGCAGAATTCATGAACATCGAGTCTGAATTTCTAAATTGTATGATTCTCCACAGATCAGATTGATCTACATGGAAGCATTCAAGAGAGTCCTACATTTATGAATTTGTGACTATTCTACTTCAATGATCACAACTAGTTAAATCTGCTTATATAGATGAGCCAAGCTTTTTAGAGACTTTGTGGATACAACACATTCAGGAGAAACTTACGTGCCAGAAAGGTGATCATGCAGCATTTTGGTTCCTGATCACATCACCTGAAGCTATGGTACATTTCAGAAGGTCACTACCAGCAGAGGTCTTCAGTCAAGAGTTGCTATGGGTCATGTCACTTGGCATGGCACTCTAGCTTCAGGTCACTTGACCCAGAACATGGAGCTGCTTCTTATTGCTTCAGGTCACTTAAAGTACCTCTAGAGATAAAGCGTTTTTTACTTGGAAGCATTCCCTGTATTAGAGTAAAAAATGTTCTACCACTGTCTGTGTCCCTCCCCCCATCCCACACCAAATACTTGCCTGAGTCTTCTGTTGATCCAGTGCTGTATCTAGCTGCATCTGTTCTCTCCCTTCTCTTTGTTCTTACAGGCTTGGTGAACAGAAGTGGGAGCCATTGGCTCCTGCTACTGTAGGTCAAATCCTGTGAGGGACACACACAGCCTGGCTCGGGAGAGAGCCCAAGTGGCTTCCTATTGTGGAGCCAAGACAAGAGAAGGAGCCAAGAGCACTGGTGGTGGACCCCAGAAGAGGAGGTTCAGGCCTGCTCTGTGCAATAATATTGTTATTTAAAAGAATAAAAAAAGACTACCCCCCCCCCCCCATTACTTACCTGAGCCTGATCACAATCCAGCGCTGTACACAAGAACAGAGGCTCTCTTGGTATTATCCCTCCTCCCTAACTCAGAGACAGCAGTGCGAGCCATTGGCTTCCACTGCTGTCAATCACAGACAGTAAGGAGAGAGCAGGGGGCAGGGTCGAGCTGCACTCTGTGTGTCAAGGAATACATAGAGCGCAGCTCGATAGCAAGTCTGCACAAGTACCCGCATAGCAAGCGGCTTGCTACGGGAGCAGTCTGAGGGTGAAGGAAGAAGGAGTGCCAGTGGGGGCCCGAGAGAAGGAGGATCAGCATTGTAAAACCACTGCACAGAGCAGGTAAGTATATCATGTTTGTTATTTGAAAATATGTGATCCTTTACAATCACTTTAACTCATATTGTCACATGACCTTTTTATGGCCACAAGGATCCCTCTAAAATATTGTTTGTATGATAGTACTCATAATTAGTGGAAAATCCAAAAGCAAAGTTCTAATTCATTACTAAAACATTATTAGAGCAAAACTCCAGGCAAACAATTAAATACATGGTTTAAATACAGTACATATATGTTTAATTGTAAATGGATTTGTAATTCTGTACGCCTTGCGACTTGCACATACAGTATTTGCTAAGTTGCAAAACCAGACAGGCTACATACGTATTTCTTGGTGCAGAAATGAAGCATCTTATGTCACCTATCCACAAAGATGGATTCATTTCAAATGGGGTCCTAGGCTAGGTAGCAGCATTGTATCCCCTCATCCTTCTGATTTACATTGATATGGAATGCAATAGGCACAGAAAAGCCACTATGTCTGTAATGGCATGGCCTAATCAAACATTAACTGCCTAATAGTGCATTGTCCCTTCAGAAGTGACAGGTCCGTGTACATCATGAAGGTTGCAGCAGGGTCCACTTAACATCAACCTAGCCCTAGATGCTGCCTTTAGTGCCTTGCCTCCAGCGTGGTTATAGCACAATGCGTCTGCATCATCATCACTGTCCATTTATCAGGGATGTGATGCAGGAGGCAGTTAACAAGTACAGGGCAACAGTATAACTTCTTTTTCAAATATGATTTTTTTTTTCTTTGCTTTTCTAAACTTCTAAAGTATACAGACAGAAGTTAACTGCAGCTTGTGTAGGGTCTAGGGTATTTCTAACTTGCAGTCCATCACTGGCTGCAACCCAACGAAGTTAACTTTAAAATATATTTGTATCAGACCACAAAACTAAAACACACAGATTATAACTCTTCAACCTTCCCCGAACTCCATTGTAGCACATCAGACTGTTACTATTGCTTTTGTGATTGTGTTCGCTAATTTTAGACCTCATTGTTTACTTAGCATGAATCAGCCAAGAATGAAATCACAGAGAAGCAGAAAGAACTTGACGAGTTCACCAACAAAGGAAAGCGTTTACTGGTGGAACTTAAGAGAATTCATGGCTGTGACACAAGACCAGTGAAAAAAGATATGGACTACTTTGTGGACCAGTGGCTTGATGTAAGATAACTGCTGGAATTTGTTTTTAGTTATTCTCTTCTTTCTCTGTGCTATCTAACAATGACAGATAGTATTGAGTTTGAATCATATGTTGACCTGGGTTCACAATGGCGTACAGTTCTAGAAAAGTAGTAATAGTAAACATAGAAGGAGATTCACTAAAACTGGCACACACAGAATCTGGTGCAGCTGTGCATAGTAACCAATCAGCTTCTACCTACAGCTTATTCAATTAAGCTTTGACAATAAAACCTAAAAGCTGCTTGGTTACTATACACAGCTCCATCAGATTCTGTGTGCAGCAGTTTTAGTAACACTCTCTCATAGAGTTTCTATATGTAGTTTCTATGTTGTATATGTTATATATCGGAGATTCATTTATTATTATTAAGTCATTTAAGCAGTATTGATGTCCATTGTATATATAATTTTAAGACTTCATCCTCCATCCAATACAATCTCATCTTGTGTTTGATTCAACGATGTCCTGTGTCCAATTGGACTTGCATCCAATTAACTCTAATCCTGCATACAATGAAAGCTCATCCTATCCTGCAAAAATAATCATCCTACATCTAATGAGACATCACCCTCTCACCAAAGTCTTCTTGCATCTAATGAATGCTAATCCTTCAATCAATGAAACCTCATTCTTTTCTGCATAAATTGCTGTCTTCCTGAAACCTCACACTGTATATGATAAATTTTCATCCTATATTTGTTGAAATCAAATCAAATAATGTTTATCTTTTATATGGTAAATTCTCCTCTCAGCTAATAAATCTTTTCACCATCTGATAAAACCTTTATCTTTAGCTGATAAATTTTCATTCAATAGAGGGCACTGCAACTATTATTACATAGCTAACACCACCTCTGAGCAGATTTCACAGTCTATTAAGATAAAATTGTATATAATCTAAAGGTGTGTGGGCCTAAAATACACTATATTTCCAAAAGTATTGAAACACCCCTCCAAATCATTGGATTCAGATGTTCCAATCACTCCCATGGCCACAGGTGTATAAAATCAAGCACCTAGGCATGCACACTGCTTCTACAAACATTTGTGAGAGAATGGGTCGCTCTTAGGAGCTCAGTGAATTCAAGCGTGGTTGCCTCCTCTGCAATAAGTACATCTGTGACATTTCCTTGCTACTAAATATTCCACAGTCAACTGTTAGCGGTATTATAACAAAGTGGAAACAACTGGGAACAACAGCAACGCAGCCACGAAGCGGTAGGCCACATAAAATGACAGAGCAAGGTCAGCATATGCTGAAGCGCACAGTGCGCAGAAGTCGACAATTGTCTGCAGAGTCAATAGGTAAAGGTCGTCAAACTTCATGTGGTCTTCATGTAGCACAACAACAGTGCGTAGAGAGCTTCATGGGATAGGTTTCAATGGCTGAGCAGCTGCATTCAAGCCTTATATCACCAGGTGCAATGCAAAGCATCGGATGCAGTGGTGTAAAGCACGCCACTACTGGACTCTAGAGCAGTGGAGATGTGTTCTCTGGAGTGACTAATCATGCTTCTCTGTCTGGAAATCCAATGGACGTGTCTGGGTTTGGTGGACAGTACTTGCCTGACTGCATTGTGCCAAGTGTAAAGTTTGGTGGAGGGGAGATTATAAAGTGGTTTTTTTTTTTTTTACTTGGCCCCTTAGTGCCAGTGAAGGGAACTCTTAAGGCATCAGCATACCAAGACATTTTGGACAATTTCATGCTCCCAACTTTGTGGGAACAGTTTGGGGTTGGCCCCCTCCTGTTCCAACATGACTGCGCACCAATGCACAAAGCAAGTTCCATAAAGACATGGATGAGCGAGTTTGGGGTAGAGAAACTTAACTGGCTTGCACAGAGTCCTTATCTCAACCCAATAGAACACCTTTGGGATGAATTAGAGTGGAGACTGCAAGCCAGGCCTTCTCGTCCGACATCAGTGCCTGATCTCACAAATGCGTTTCTGGAAGAATGCTCAAACCTTCCCATAGACAACACTCCTAAACCTTGTGGACAGCCTTCCCAGAAAAGTTGAAACTGTTATAGCTGCAAAGGGTGAACCAACTCAATATTGAATCCAACGAACTAAGACTGGGATGTCATTAAAGTTCATGTTATGTAAAGGTAGGCATCCCAGTACTTTAGAAAATATATTGTATAATCATACAATTTTTATGAGATTGTATGAAATATTTATTGTATAAGTTGTTTCTTAGATAAGCAGGTTTGAAAACTACTAACTCAATATATACAATCTAATTGTATATTCCCTCTTAGGTTTACAACTATGTAGTATAATGCTTTACCTGATTGTACAGAGTAGTTGTAATGTCTTTTACTAGTTTAGCACTGCATTTTTTTCCAAACAATTTTCTTGCATCCTGATTCTAAGGTATTTTTGTAAAATTCAACCTATCCTTGGTGCATTTTACATTGAGATTGTGATATGTATGTCAGCTGAAAGCCCAACTTCAATATGCAAGAATTTGATATTGTTTTTGTATACAATAGAATCATAGGGCTATGGCCTGCTATCAGCTGTGGAGCAGAGCCACTCCAAGCTCTGGATGTATTCTGACAATATTGTTGGGATCCACCTGGCTGCCTGATTGGTAGCTGGCTCTGCCTCTCAGCGCACGGCTGAGAGCAAGTTCCAGCCATGCCCACCCCCTCCCCTGCCTGGCACTCCAGCAAGCATTGGAGAAGCAAAGAGGAGATCGGTGACTGACATCCACTGCTCTTTGCCCAGAGAAGACCCAGCTAAATGATCAACTGTAATGTGATTGCTCAGTTCCCAGTCTTAGAGATGGCAGAGGGCAGCTGCAGCATCACACCGTTTTGAGGTAAGTATGTGTATTTATTTCTTTCAATGTCCATGCTTCTCCTTTAATTCTCAGTGCTCAATAAAGTTATTCAATGACAGATTTGTGTCACACCTCATGGTATGGAAACGTAGTATAATGTAGTTAGTTTTTTGTGAATATGAAACACAAACAGAATAATTAGACAATGTACAGTTGTGTTCAAAATAATAGCAGTCAGACATCACTAACCTGATCAATCACTGTTTTTGGTAGAAATGATATTTCTACATGGCAAATAATTTACTAGCAGGTGTAGTAGAGTAATAGAAATCCAACAGACCCAACAGTCATGACATGCATGCTGCTGATTCTGTGTAATTAAATCACTAATTGAAAGGGGCATGTTCAGTGTGGAGTTCTATTAGTTAGGTCATTCATTCTTTGAAAAACAGGTGGCAATTATTGCCCTTATTTAAGGAAGGAATGCAGCAAATGTTGTACATGCTGGTTACAGTGCATTTCTCTCTCTGAAATTCTGAGGAAAATGGGTCATTTCAGACATTGTTCAGAAGAACAGCGTACCTTGATTAAAAGGTTGATTGGAGAGGGGAAAACATATAAAGAAGTGCAGAAAATGATAGGCTGCTCAGCTAAAGTTATCGCAAATGCTTTAAAATGGCAACCAAAACCTGAAAGACGTGGAAGAAAGTGAAAAACTACCATTCGAATGGATAGAAGAATAGCCAAAATGGCAAGGACTCAGCCAACAATCAGCTCCAGGAAGATCAAAGGTCTAAAGTTACCTGTGAGTACTGTTACAATTAGAAGACGCCTATGTGAAGCCAAGTTATCTGCAAGAAGCCCCCGCAAAGTCCCACTGTTGAAAAAAAGACATGTGCTGAAGAGGTTACAATTTGCCAAAGAGCACATTGACTGGCCTAAAGAGAAATGGCACAACATTTTGTGGACTGATGAAAGTAAGATTGTTCTTTTTGGCTCTAGTGGCCGTAGACAGTTTGTCAGATCACCCCCAAACACTGAATTCAAGCCACAGTACACTGTGAAGACAGTGAAGAATGGTTGCGCAAGCATCATGATATGGGGATGTTTCTCATACTACGGTGTTGGGCCTATTTATTGCATACCAGGGATCATGGATCAGTTTGAATACATCAGAATACTTGAAGAGGTCATGCTGCCTTATGCTGAAGAGGAAATGCCCTTGAAATGGGTGTTCCAACAAGACAACGACCCCAAACACACCAGTAAACGTGCAACATCTTGGTTCCAGACCAACAAGATTGACGTTATGGAGTGGCCATCCCAATCCCCGGATCTTAATCCAATAGAAAACTTGTGCGGTGACATCAAAAATACAGTTTCTGAGGCAAAACCAAGAAATAGAGAAGAACTGTGGAATGTAGTCCAATCATTGGCTGGAATACCTGTTCACAGGTGCCAGACGTTGGTTGACTCCATGCAACACAGATGTACAGCAGTTCTCAGAAACAGTGGTTATGCAACTAAATATTAATTGATTCAAAGGAAAGCAAAATCTTCAAACATTTTTCAGTTTATATAGTGAATATTTGAGTTTGTAAAGAAGAATACAAACACTGCTATTTTTTTGAACAGTCTAATATTCACTTTTTTTAAAATTTTTTTAGAGGAACAACACAAATTTGATATATTTTTCTTCATGTTTTGATTTGGAATAGAATGTGTAGTGTTCCCAATGCATTTGTGTGTATGGAAATAAAAGCTATTAGAAGGATTTTGAGCTTTATTCACTTTTTTCAACACACTGCTATTATTTTGAACACAACTGTATAACAGGCATCAGGATGTTGCAGCATGTGCCTTGCAGCAATCAAAATACAAAACTGTACAAACTAGCAAACAAGCCCCTGTCTCTTGTATCTTCCCAATCAATACCATCGGAGAGTTTTTATAAAAGGCATTCCATGTATAGTTGATTTCTACATTGTGCTGAAGAGTAGATCAGTGGATAGTTGCATTTTTCAATGTTGTAATAATACCATAACCATATTACATAACTTGTAAAGGGCAAAAGTAACTTTTCTTCCATATTTAGTAAAGTGGTTTATGTGCTACACATAGCATACGAAAACATATGTCTTGTTTAGGGGTGTGGTAACATTCTTCATAAAAGACTCCAAAAATAAAAAGC